AACAGCTTAAATTGGACACTTAATAACTGATGTATAATACAGATGGAGATAATATGTTACATGACTGGATGTTTCACTAAGGTTATAAAGAAATGAAAGCACAACTTAATTAATATTCATTAACTCACACCATAGTAGAGTTTATAATTTTGGTAGAATAGCTAAATTTAGAAGCTAAATAGCTGATGTATAATACAGATAGAGATATTATGTTACACAACTGGATGTCTCAGTAAAGTTATGAAGAAACATAAGCTCAACCTAATTAATATTCATGAAATCACCCCATTAATAATTTTGCTAGAATAGCTTGATTTGGAGACTAAATAGCTGGTGTATAATACAGATATTATATTACATGAATGGATGCTCCAGAAAGGAACCTAATTAATATTCACGAGCTAAGCTTTTTATTAAAATTTGGATAACAGTAGCTTGTGATGAATACAGACAGAAATGAGCTTACATGACAACCTAATTAATATTCATAAGCCAAGTCTACACTGTAGTAGGATTCAGAATGTTTACATTTTGAAAATGATTTAAGATTCATAAGCAAAGCCTACACCATAATAGGATTTAAAATGTTGCTGGAATAGTTGAATTTGTACTAGGGTTGGGCCGATAGACGATGCCATCGTCGATGGCTGATAGACATCACGATGTTGCCCCCCTTTTTGAATGCACGATTGCTGTTTAGTTTCACTATCACTTTCGAGATTCGCGATCGCACGTACTCTGTTTATACTATGGAGCGGCAGTACTTGCCACACATTTTACAAGATTATATATTTGTCAGTGGTACTGAGGATCTGCAAATCATTCGCCATCGTCCTCAGTCATCTCTCCTTACACCGTGTCAACACCGGACGTGACAGTTGTCCTGTCGCGCCGCATCAGCTAAAGACTGTCTACACTGGACGCGACAAAGCGACCGTTGAAAATCATTTGAAATTTGTGTCAGCACGTCATAAATAGAACGCGGCAGCAGTTTACTGTCAGGGATTTGT